TATATAAAGTCAATCTTTATATTTAAATATGCTCAATTTCTTAAAATTATTAACATTCGTGAGAACTACACTTACATTTATATATCTTTTAAGCACCTAATCATGCTGAAGCTCATTTTAGGAATAACATGTACTCAAACACTGATTCATTGTGGCTGTCTTCTTTATTGCAAACACCTAGAAGATATAAAACCTCCAGGAATCTAAGCATGTTTACTATGGAGATGTCCGCTGTCTGCATACAATAAGTGCCTATAAAGGAGGTGACCAATTATAATCCCACCCAGCTCTCCTAGCTGAGGTTTATGATCCCAGTGCTTACCAGATTCGTAGCTTTCACTCACTTTTTCACTACACTGCTGCAAGCCTCGGGTCATTTTCTGCCAGAACTAATAATTTGACACTTAGAACAACAAAATAAAATAATCCACTGTAACATTTTTCACAATCCAGGTGGGATGAGCCTTCCACGTTCACAGCAGAGATTTGTACCTCCCTGTGGAAGGAGGGCTGTGTTTTCCTTGGACAGGCGACACCTTGAATACCTCAGTCTGCAGTATTTGTGTGGGTTTTGATCTCACAGCAGATCCCAGGAACCAAACTCTGATTTCTAAATCTCCCACGAGAAAAATATATGTGAGCAATTAAACAGTTTCACCAAGGAATTCATTAAACACCAAATTAAATGATGTAATATGTTTGCCTATATTGTAAGAACAATGCAAAAAACATATTTCGGCTTTCCAAGTCATAGATCAAATAGAAATTTGGGGTGTGATATTTGATTTCTCACATGTTTTAATGAACTCAAATAAATTTGTCAAGCAGCTATCAGAATATTCCATCCAAAATGATGGAGGAATAAACTGGAAATAAGTAAAAATGTATTTAATGAGTTATAATTAGCAGATCTTGGGAGTCAACATGTTTAGTGAAACTCATTATGAATGAATTTAATAAGTATGATATGTACTGTGATATATTTGCCTATTTTAAATTATACCAACCCAAGGTCAAGTTATACGAGAAAATCTTCATCACAAATGTATTTACTCTGTGAATATTTTGTTCAAGACACTTGTCTAGGTACAAAACAAAGTGAAAAAATTGAACTAAGCAATAATAATTTTATCAGTTACAGAACAGTGAATGAGAGCAGGATGGAAAACAACAGAAGAAATAACATGGAATTTTAAACATCCATGGCATGATTGGATGCTTGACAATGAGATTTAGAAACAATGTGTGGCCTAATAAAGTTAAGTATGACTGAGTATGTATATATATTCATATATTCATATATATATGTATATATTCATATATATACATACACATATATATATTCATATATATACATATATATGGCTAGAAGTGTCTTAAAATTCACTTCTAAGAGCCTCAAAAATGTTAATTCATGAAGAGGATATTTATAAGTAGATCTATTAGATTTCTTTTGGATGAATATAGCGGAATACAATGTTTTATGTTGTCTCAAGCATAAGTGGAGTTTATGGATACTTTCAAAGATCATGTGCACCTGTTTGTGATACATAATGAATGCATCACCATGGGAAGTTGGTCCACTGTTCCACGGCCTCATAATCCCTTTATACTTTCCCTACCCTTCCCCTGTGTCTCCTCTCCCTCCATCCCTAGATTAACCTCCCCATCTGTATGAGGTCTTCTGATAATTTAAAAATTTAGACATAGGTCAACCAAGAGAGGATGTAAATGAGTAAAGAGTTTGAAAATGTGTGATCAGTCATCTACCCTTCTCCAGATCTCTGTTCTGCTTTTCTCTTTATTGACTTAAATATCAAGAAAGCTCTCTCTTCTTAGAAAACAGAACTTTGAGTAGTTTTAAGCTCTGTCGGCCCAGAGAGTTAGCAACAGCAGGATGAAGCTCTTCTCTCTCATACATTCCTGCAGAATCCCCCAGCCGGGGAGGTAGCACACTTGCGCCTAGCAGAATCAAATCCCTGCGTTGCTTTAGTGACTGATCAGGGACAGGACCAAACACCACTGGGACCAAGACACTGACACACGGAGGTTGCCATGCTGCAGGAAATCTAAGCTGATATTAGTGGAAGTATGAGAAATTCACCTCAAACTCTATAGTTCATACAGAAAATACAAAAATATACTTAGTTCCAAAAAAGGTAAAAGAAATGTATGTGATTGCTTTTCAGACATGTTGGAGAAGCAATCAATGTGCCCCAGTCACCTTCTTAAGTAACTTGGGAAATTAACTGTGAAATTACATTGAGGAAAATCTGATATTATTTTTTTCTGACTCTAAATTTAAAGCAGGCTTCCTTTTTGCTAACAATGGCCAACAGTCTCTGCACATGAAAGTATGACCGTTATCTTAGTAGGATATAGAGACCAATAATTCTCAACACTGAAATTGGAGTGACTGAGCATCTCTGACTACAAAATCCGGTGTGTCTGAAAGGAGCACTGGAAGTCCTGGAGAGAGAACAAACTAGTAACTGGATAGAAGGAAGGATTTGGGTATCTGGAAAGGGTTCTGAAACACAGGGAGGGACATTAGTTCTGAGGCTGCTAACACAGCTCTGATTTGAGTAGCAAAGCTGAAAGAATTTTCTATTCCATTCATCTTGTGAACGAAAAGTCTCGTGAGTGATAACTGAAATCTCATTACACTTGAAACATTTGAAAATAGATTCGATACTATATTTGCATCAAAGAACCAAACTCTACTTTCTGTCAGTAATTATTCATGTAAAGTACTGTGACTCTAGTTAATAGTATTCTTTTGTATGTGTGAATTTTGCTAAGATTAAGTGTTTTCACCACAAATAAAGAAAAGACAAAGGAAATGGTAACTCTGTGAGGTAAGGGGTGTATCGGTTATTCCACTTATGGTGACTAATTCACATTGTGATTGTACATTAAATAATCAAGTTGCATACCTCCATGATACAAAAGTTCTAGTTGTTAATTTTACCTGAATAAAATAAAATAAAAAGAAGAGACAGAGGCTGCTTATGTTTATGTTAAGCAATGATACTGCAATTTTTAAAAAATATAGAACAGGACCAGGGATTTAGCTTAGTGGCTCTGCTGCCTGCCTTGCAAGTGAAAGGTCCAGAGTTCGATCCCTGGTACCAAAAAATAAAAATAAAAATGAAAAATAAATAAAAATATAGAACAAATTACTCCATCTCCAATGTTACATTTTATGGACTGTGTCTCCTCAGTTTTTATTAATATCATTACAGTTTTTAAGTTCCACAGTGACAGTCTCAGTCTGGCTGCATATCTGCAGTTCCTATTCGAGAGAACTGAGGCTGAAATTGAACATGCTGCTCATGTTCATTCTCCTGAGTCAGGACCTGGACACACAATGCTTAATCTCATGTCTAAAGCTCTTCCCAATGCACTAAAGTGACAAGCTTCTATGATGAGTTTATTAATTGATTTATAAAAATAAAGGCTATAACAAATAATAAAAGAAATCTTGAAACACTGAGAAAACAAATGAAGTGTGAGTATAGAAAATGAGCCAAGCTGAATTGTGACAAATGGGGAGATTGATCTTTTGCAAATGGGAAGGAGTCCAAGAGACTGAGGCCGAGGGGAAGGTGGGAGAGGAAGGGAGTAGAAGAGACTTAAGATGTGTCATGTACAGGTGCCAAATACCTAGGATGAATATAAACATTGTTTGTCATCAATATGTACCAAAACAATAATATTAACAAGGAAAATGAAAATGAGGAAAGGGGACCTAGGGATAGAGGGAGGGAGGTGATTAGGAAGGGGAAGGGGACTAGAAAGAATCAAGATGGTTATGTACTTGAACTCACTCCCTAAGATGAATGTAAACTTCACATATGCCAAACACGCAGTGACAAAATAATTTTTTTCAAAAGATGGGTGTGTTAAGCTTTTAACTCTCAGATATTCTTATGGAGCCTGTAAACAAATCTTATTTATAAAAAGGTAGCTAGCAGATATGATTAAGCTAAGGGGTATGACATGGGCAGAACGTCTTCCTATTTGAAACTGAGGCTCCAGATGTCATCAGAAGAGTGCTGTTAGAGGGAAGCAGAAGGGCATTTCATACACGCACAGGTATTTGTGCACAAAGAAGCACATGCGAGAAGAGGTCACAAAGACGGAACATCTTGCACTGTGAGGTAATATAACCACAAGCCATGGAAATCTGCAGCAGTCAAAGATGGAAGAGGGATTGGTTATTCCCAGAGAACCTCCGGAGGAGTATCTACATCTTGATTCACTCAGTGACACCAATTTCAGGCTTTTGTCCTCCAAAACCAAGAAAGAATAAAAATTGCAGGTCTAAGTCACCACATTGATGCTAAGCAGTTTCACAAACCATAGGAAATTAATATACTGTGTTTAGAATACAATACATTGAAAAAATGTAGTGAATGCATACAATAATTTCCAGTAGAAACAAAGAAAGGAAATGTCAACACAGAGAAAAGTTTAAAATGTAGGGTTACAAAATTCATAATGTAATTGCTTATTCAGGAATGAAAGTGAAATATAAAGCACAGGGTAAAGGTAATAATAATAAATTTATTAATCAGTTATAATATGTCAATCAATGCTAAGAATTTAAGATACGTTTTCTAATTTTCATGAATATTTTATCAGAAATACAGACAGTATTACCTCCATTTTGTATATATGATAGTTTATAAAAGTTCCTAAATTATTAACTTGCAATACAAAAGCTAGTAAAACAGAAAATAATAGAAAATGACTGAAATGATATTTGGAAATACACATAAGAAACTCATTTTATATAATCACGAATAAGCACAACTATGAGAAAATGTGTATTTATTTTCTCTGATTAAAATGAAGCCAATTAAATGGTTATATGCATTAAAGATAATAAAAAGAAAGCATAAACCCCTGGGTCCTAAAATATCTCCATGGCATTCCGTGCACACGCATCTTAGCAAGCATCCCTTGAAAGATTCTATTTGCCACCCTGAGACAGCCTAAGGAAATGGATCCTTGAAAGTTAAATTGGATTTCAGCACCTTCCTGAGACCTTCTTTGACATCTTTGTTCCTCAGGCTGTAGATCAGAGGGTTCAGCATAGGAATCACAACCGTGTAGAACACAGAGGCCACTTTGTCAGCAACCCGACTGTTGCCCAGACTGGGTCGACAATAGAGGAACAGAATTGTTCCATGGAAGACAGTGATGGCTGTGAGGTGGGAGGTGCAGGTGGAAAAAGCTTTGTGCCTTCCCTCAGCTGAGCGCATCCTCAGGATGGTGATGAGAATGAACAAGTAGGAGGAGAAGATGACGATGATGGTAAGCATCTCATTAACAGTGGGCACAATAAATGCCATGAGGTCATTAATAAATATGTCAGAGCAGGCAAGAGAAAAGACAGGTGGTAGGTCACAGAAAAAATGGTCAACCATGTTGGACTTATAGGATGGGATTTTAAGAGTTAAACACAAGTGAATCAGAGCACACACAGTTGCACAAAGGTAGCAGACAGAAACCAGCTCCACTCGAAGCTTTTGGGACATGGTGAGCATATAGAGTAGTGGCTTACAGATGGCCAAGAAGCGGTCATAGGACATAACTGCCAGTAGGAAAACCTCAGTGACCACACATGTGCAGAACAAGTAGAACTGCACCATACACCCCAGAAAGGAAATGGCTTTGTCCTCGTTTAACATATTAGCCAGCATCTTTGGCACGATTGCTGTTGAATAGCAAAAATCTACAAAGGACAGATGGCTGAGGAAGAAGTACATGGGGGTGTGGAGTCGAGGGCTGACCTGAATCAGTGCCATCATGCCCAAGTTAGCCAAGACAGTGACTCCATAGATGAGAAGGAACACCAGGAAGAGGAAGATTCTCAACTCAGGGACATCTGATAACCCGAGGAGAATGAACTCGGTTACCTTGGTGCAATTTTCCTCTGCCATTGCCATCTTGAATGAGGTCAGAGAAAAGTATTATCTTTTTAAATGTTCTAGAAAACAGAACCTTCAGAGAAATATAAAAATAAATTATTGATATCAAAATATTTACATTGTGGTAACACAGCTGTCAAGCAACTTAAAATGTTACATAACTCTGAGGAAGCCACTGATCTGAGTTAGTTCATGCATAAATAGTAACCTTGTACTACCAAGTCTTTGTATCACTGTTAAGTTCACACAGCCATGAAGTTAGGGTGGTCCATGGGCTTTATAAGAATTAATGATTCATTTTAAAGCTAACTATAAATTAATCTGCATTCTCTATCATACTTACTAAGTTGTGCTTAAATGCAATGAAAAACACTATGATCCTATGTAATATGGACTATTTATTAGTATAGTGTATCATTATCTTTAATTTGCCACAACTGAGGTCTGCAATTCCAGTCTTGGGAAGTAGAACATGTATTTGGGAAAAGCTTTAAAAGTTCAAAACAGATTTTTTTAATTTAGAGTTATGCAGAAAGAATACGAAATGAAAATGTACCCTGAAATCATGATAATTTTACTTATAAAATAAACATTTAATTTAAATAGTCATCAATATTACTGCTGACTCTAAAAGATAAATTTTATATATAATTGTTTCTAGAAAACAACTAGGCAAAATGTATCTGAAGTCTTACTCCAGACAATAGCAAATGATTAATCATTCCTTTGTTTATGAGAAATTTTTTTCTTAGTGATCTGTAACAAGTGCTTAAATATATTGAAAATGTGAAACACTAAATTAGAAATTACAAAAAATCATTGCTTATGATATTAGCAATAGAAAAATCTCAATAGTTTATCTTAAAAGTGTTTAAAAAATAGGGCAGGGAATTTAGCTCAGTGGTTCTGCCGCCTGCCTTGAAAGTGCAAGGTCCCGAGTTCGATCCCAAGTACCAAAAAACAAAACAAAAGCAAACAAAACAAAAAAGTGTTAAAAAATGAGGAAAAGGTTAAACTGTAGTCCATAATATCTAGGGTCGAAAATTTACCATTCTATTTGAAATTATGTTGAGGAGATGATTGGTTAAAAATACCCAAAAGCATATTTGCTTATATATGTAGGTATAAATGAATATGAAAGTATAGATATATAAAAACAGTTAATCCTAGAGATAGCATATTGTCACTTTAATGTGGTTTCATCTTGAAATAAAAGACTTGTTATGCTTTAAAATGATATGAGAAGGAACTTTAAGTGTAGCCCACTTACCTACCATGTGTAAGGCTCTGTGTTCAATCCCTAGTTCTCAAAAAAATAAGTATATAAAAAAATTCTTTTTAAAGATCTAAGTGAAAGTCTCCCAAGGTCATTCAAAAAGTGGTTTGGGCCAAATGGCTGGATGGTTCCCTTCGGTAAACGGGAAGTGCCGTCTAGGGCTTAAGGAAAGTGTGTGTGGGCTGCAGGACTTTCACTGTCTGCTGCCTTCACAGACCATGGCAAAGGTACAAACCATGGCCTCAGCCACTACTGCAATGAAAACTGAGTGAAGAGAATATGGACTGGAAACACAGCCTGATTCTCTCTGGATGTTTATGAAATGTTAAAGAATTGAGAAAAACATTCCAATATCAGGATCAGGACTTCAGAGTAATGGTTTTCTTAATCCACCTGATCAAAATGAGTAACAAGTAAATAAAAAGTGAGTTATTTAGTCTAGGGAGAAAAAATGAAAATCAATTGGAACATCATGTTCCCAGTCTTATGCTGAAATAGGAAAATAGTCTATCACAAATCAGAAATGAATGCAAAGAAATTCATCTCCTTTCCTGAGCAGAGAAAATGTATATGTTCTGATTTCATAATAAGCAGATTTCAGGCACATTAATTAATGTACTAAAATTAAATGACAGTGACAATGAGTTCCACTGTAATATGAAATTCTAGCTTCTATGAGGAAAACAGGTGAGCCAAAAGGATGTAGGGAGGAAGATAGAGACTAGAGAAACAAATCTACCATTTGTTTTTCTGCATTTGTTCATACAAATCAAGTCTCACAGAAGAAATTGTTCCCATCAACTACTCAAAACGGAAAGGTAAACACATTGGATGGAATAAATCCACAGGAAAACAGTTCTCCTACACATGTTGTGACTTCAGAGAGATGACTTAGAAATTATCTTTAAAATAAATTTTGCTCATAATTATATTAAGTTCCATTTTCAAATAAGCAAAGTGTAGTTTTCGCTAACAAACCTGAGGTACAAACATTCTTCCCTGGTACTGAGGATGTTGATGTTGGGTCTCCCATGCACAGTAGGAAATTTATACTATGACTTAAACTCCTGGGAATTGTGTCCCTTAAGTGAAGCAATTTTTAATCTCTATGGCATAACGAAATAAAACTTTCACAAAAATGCTCATGAGATAAGACATAAGATATAGGCCATCTCTCTGGAACAGCCCAGTAATTTCAAAGCCATTCAGGAAATACCTGAAATGCTTGTTTTGTGTAAAACCAAGCTTACTTCTTTCCACACATCATGATACTTTACAGAGCTCTATAACCTGATTTTAAATATGTGAACTACCACTCACACTTCCATTCTGGAATAACATGGATATTTCCTCTTCAATTTTATTAGTACACATTTGTAGTACATCTGGTTGTATTCATTATGGGGACTTGATGCGTGCACTTAACATCTTAATTCTTTTTACATCCATTTTTTTCTCTGCTCCCTCCTCCCTTTATCTCTTGATCCCTTTCCCTTTTCTTTTTTTTGGTACCAGGGATCGAAACCCTTTCCCTTTTCTAAGAGATCAGTCTTACTCCTTCCTATTACCCTTCATTTTTCTCTTTAATGTACATATGTTTTGGGTTTCTCACATGAATATTTCTCACAAGCTTTTCCTTTCTCGCACTATTACATAAACCTGTTAACTTTCAGGTGGGAAGAATATTTTAAGCCCCACCAGACTTCCTTCAAACATCATAAAATAATGAAGATATTAAAAACAATTATGTTTAATTTCACACTACCAGGCACTTATGTGTATTTACAAATTATTGTAAACCATGTACAAGTATTAATTCATTTCATCTCCCAGTAATCACTAAAGGAGGAATTTTGTTTTAATGCTTGCTTCCAATGGACACAATAGAAACATGGACAATTGTTCTCTAGACAAAGTCCAAATGAGTTGCAGGAATGAAATGTCATCTTGGTCTCTGGCTTTCATCTACATTAGTGTGCAGGGAAAATAACAAAACCAGAATGAGCATTCAGTTCTATTTTCCCTGATCCACGCCCAGTTCCTGTTACTGGGTGTACCCATGGCTTCTCTAGATGTATGTGGTCAAGAATTAGTTTCACATAAGTACATCACTGTATTTTCAACTGCTAGGCAGCATATTTCTAAAGTTGATCTGCCACATAAAACTGAGGAGACATGCTGCTCCTCCATTCAAACATAGGTTTCACATTTTATAAAAGGGAAGTGTACATCAACCAGCAACATGGTGCTTTGTCTTCATGAATAAAGTTTCCAGGCTAAAACAGAAGAGTAACTTACTTAGCATATTATTTTATGACAATTTGTAATTTTTTAAATCATTCTATTCAGGTGGCTTAAATTCATGATGTTATTTTCTGCCTAAATCATATTTCCATTATTGAAATATCATTAAAATATTTTTCCTATTGAAGACCTACCTTTTTCTGTTATTGAGTGGTATTCCTTACATATACTTTATATAAAGTCCATCTCATTAGATAGGGAGATGTATATCTATGTGTACATACAACATATACATGTGTAAAAACTTTCTGATGCTTTTTACTTTTTAATTTTTAAACCTGTGATTATTTCAAGTTAATATTGGTATATGGCATCAAGGTCTAAATTCATCTTTTCATTTGTTGATTTTTTTGCACTAGGCATTGAAACCAGGGCCTTGCATATGCTAGGCAAGTAATTTCCCAATGAACTACATCCCCAGGCCTAAATTCATCTTTCTCATATAAGCAGGCGATTCATTACCACCATTTGCTAAAAAAGACTATCTTTCCTGACTGCATTTTCTTGGCAGATTTCTAAAAAACAAAATAACCATAAATGTGTTCACTTGAGGGCCATCAATTTGATTTTACTGATACGTAGGTCTACCTGACACTGCTAGCAAATTATTTTAATTATCTAGTGTCATAGGAAATTTTGCTGTCTGGGTTTTTAATTCTTTTAACTTTGGCATTTCCTCTCTATTTTGTTTTCCAATAAGGTTTTGAGTATTCTGGACTTGCTTATCTGGGTTACCTCTTGCATCACTTAGAAATTATAAAATCTCTTTCTCATTTTCTTCCAAAGATTGTTTTTAGTTTTTGATAGACAATCAAAATTTTAATAAATAAATGATTTGCATAACTATGACATAGTTCAGTAAATCAATTTAGAGAGATTTGGCATTTAAACAATAATAAGTTTTCCTATCTGTCCATTTATTGAGCTCTTTCAAAATTTATCTTAAAATGACTTGTAATTTTTTGTCATGTTCAAGCCTTGTTTCTTCTGTTATTAAATGTCTTTATACATATTGTAATTTTTTTCAGTATTAGTCACTTAACCCAGGGTCTTTGGACTGAGCTATATCCCCAGCCCCTTTTTTACCTTTTATTTGAGACAGGGTCTCCTTGAACTGCTATGTTGCCCAGACTGGGCTCAAAATTTTGATCCTCCTCCCTCAGCCTTACACACTGCTGGGATTATATGAATGTGCCACCATGCCTGGCAACAATTATATTTTTAAATGTTCTCCCAAATTAAGTTATTTTTGGAATTTTAAATTCAGATTTTATTTTAATATTTTATGGAAATAATTTTTTGTGTGCTGGAGATTGAACACATGCTCATACATGCTAAACAATCGCTGCTCCTATGAGCTTCAGCCCAAGTTAAATCAGTCCTGTTGGACTCCGAACACATGATAATGGCTTAAATCCTGAGTGGTCTAAACACAGTCCTTGAAAAACTACAGTTGTCCTTTTGACTGGTACCCAATTTCACTGCTAGTTTTAGGAATCATTAATGACTCTCATATGGTTGATCAACAGTTGCCACCTCCAAATTGTCTAATGATATGATGATGTCACTAATATTGTCCTGCTGGATGGTGCAGATTGGCTGCAAAAATCTCCTCTTATTTTCATAGCTATATCACTTTGCTGTTTTACCTGATTTCAATTTTTTTAAATAGTATTAAAATGTATATGGTCCTTGATATTAGGACAGCATCCCAGAGACAGAACCTATGCTATGACCAAGACCAAATGCTGTGTGTACATCCCTGAACAACACCAGTGTCAAACATAAAGACCCAAAACAATGTGCTCTCTGACCCCACATCACCTTCGGGAGAGAGAGTTTGGATCGTTGAGCACTCAATGGAAAAAATTGATTGGTTAAATGATGATTATTATTTTCATTTGCTGAATTTTCTCCTCTATCTATGCGTCCTTCTCTTGTACAGCTGTGGAGTCTGCGATCAGACCACAGACAGTCTTGCAGCTTGCCACCAACACGTGTTAAACCACATGAAGGCTCAGGGCATCCTGTGAAAGAGGGAATGTGAAAGATGTCAGCAACCAGTTGAGATGGAATGTAAGGTTTCAGCTTGACACACCTACAGCTATTTGGGTCACAACCAGCTGACCCGGGCACACATTTCAAATCCTATACAATGAGCAAAACTCGAAGTAGCTAGCATGTCATGGTGCCTGCACTGCTGGACTTTTAATAGTACCTGTTTTGTTTGATTTGATTTGGTTTGGTTTTTTGAGAAACACAAACACGCTGCAGTTGGCCAGGACCCACCTCTGTGTAGCTTAAAACATATATAATTTTTTTGCCTTGAAGTGAAGAATATAGAAGATTCTTCTATTTTGATGCTACCCAACATGATTTTCTCCATGAGTCTCTAGTAATTGACCCGTGTGCCTTCCATTCATGAAATTGTCCGCCTCTTTCTTCAATCTCTCTGCACCTTCTGCTGTTGGCAGTGGGATCTTGTACAGAAAGATTTACTGAAACATCAGTCCACAAGTAACAAATTCCTTCAGTATTAGCTTCCATTTAAGGTAAGGCTGGGTGGCCTAAGATCTTTGGATACCTCACTCACTCTAAGCTTTACTTCACCTGTTACATAAATCTTAGAAAGCTCCTCTCTCCAAATCTTTCCCCAGCCCTTAGCCAGGAAATGCTCTTCCAGGAAATGTTTTTCCAGTGGTTGGTTTCACAGTAACCTTACCTGACTGGTGAATTCTAGAAGATTTCAAAAAAAATTAATTGTAGAAAACAAACTCTTATTTTTCCCATAGTATTGGCACAAAACTCTTTATGGTTTGCTACCTTTTAAATTGAAGCCAGAAGTCTGATAATGTTTCTTTAAAAAAATTCAAACAAACAAGATTGAAACATGTTTTATTTTAATCATTTTATATGCTTTTATAACATTCTTAAAAACTGAAAGTCAATTTCTATAATTGTATACAATACCATTTAAAATACAGAGATTGCAGACTGTGCTTTCACCAAAAATTAAAATAAAATACAATATAATATATTATATTATTAAATATAGACAGTTGTTAAAATAATCATTGATGATGAGGACTCATGAGAGTTTTGCATATCATGTGAAGGATACTAAAAGTATTTTAAACATTCGTATTACAAAAAAGCACAACTGTTTTTCTAGATTTGTTTTCAAATGATCAAACTTAAGGCTGTTGAATCCTGTGCTATTCTAGAAATAAAAATGTTCACCCATAGATAATTTTGCTAACTATAATAAAAAGTAAACGTTGTCTTAATAGATATAAGGGTGAATTTCCAGTAACAATAAATTCTCTTGAATATTTCACAGAAATGTGTAACATAAATAATGCATAGAAATAGGATAATTATTGTTATGATTACTCATGTAGATAAAAAATTATAAGCTTTATATCATAAGAAATATGTCAATTCCATAAAATTTTTGGTTGCAAAATGATATACTCCTGTGATGCATGATCCCAGATAATACAATTTAAATCTGCAGCTACAGAAGATATGAAATCTGATGATTCATGAATTTCAAGTTAAACATATTGAACATAAGTTAATTACCTATCATATTTATTGAAATTAAATATTTTTTTGAAATTCAAATTCTTGAAATATTTTAAACTTAAATGAAACATCTAACAATTAGGTGCATATTCAAAATTAGATATTTTCAAAAGCACATGAAAAAACAAAGCAAAAAGCAAACAGAAACCATACTCTATATATCACTTACAGAATTTATCAAGATGTACTTAAATTTCTTACTAGAGAATGGCAAACACAAAGCTTTATATCAGTGTTTATTGAAAGTGTCCATGCTTTATGGGTTTATCCCAAATTATTGTCCTGATTGTGTCACCAAAAATTTTTAATCCATTGATCAGAGCACTTAAACTATATACTGTATATCTCTAAATTCTTAGAATAAAAGTTAGGAGATACTGTCTTTTACTAAACAGAATGTAACCATCCTTACCAATTCAGAAAAGATATCTAACAATTTACTGAAATGAATTCAAGAAAGATTGATATAAAATTTCTAGTACTTCCTTCCACCAGTATCCATGGTAAGCTAAAGATCAAAAAAGTGATCAAGGAGCTGGGGATATAGTTCATTGATAGAACACTTATCTACACTGTGGGAGGTACTTGAGTCACTTTCCAGGAGGAAGATAGATAGATAGATAGATAGATATTGTAGATAGGTAAATGTAACAATGTATACTGGAAACCAGTTTATTTATGAGTAGATAAAGCAACATTGTCTATCATTACTTATCCAAATATTAACCAAAAAGTGTGGTTTTAATTTATCATGATAAGTGTAAAACTATCCAGCCATTGAAAACTATTTCTATTTCATATAAGCCCATTATTTAATTTCAAAATCAAAGCTTATTTTTCATTTTATCTTTGCTAATGAGGCATAAGAAAATTATACATATAACACACACATATATATATTATATACAATAAAAATTGTCCAAGTAAAATTCATGTTAGACAGAAAGAATAAAAGGTGTATGTCATATTAGAAAAATTCTAAATTAAATAACTCTCGGTGAGGTCTTCTTTTAAGAAACATTACAGGTAAGAGAGGAATATCAACCCTTCCTAACCCACACAGTAGACTTGGTCTTCATTTGCTATTCTAGATCCAGTCCAGTGCGACAGTTAATCTAACACAACATTCAATTCCAGTCAGGGAAATTACTTCCAATACTTATAACAATGGCACTGATGCTTTATGAAAAGTGCCCACGAGGTCCTGATAAAGAGAATGTCAGATGCTTTTGTGCAGGTTGTATCATGAATATTTCTGCTGATTAGTGTGTAACAGACAAGAAGCATAAACATCAAAAGTGAATATGTTATGGAAGGCAGCTCAAGATATTTATGAAACCATTTCCACAATGATACATGGTCAGCTCAGTATCATTCTCTATGCTCCTAAATGACAGTTCACTCTGAGTAAAGTCTCACTCCTAAACAAACCTGCTACCTCTTTGGGGTGAGTTACTACAGCCTGTAACCATGAAGAAATCCCTCCTACACCCCTCAATAGGTCTAAGGTAACTCTCACCACCTACTTGGTCACTACTATCTTTCCCTAGCTGCCATCTATCTCTCTGTTACATCAAAACTGGTTGTTTATTTCTCCTAAATCTTGAGTTACCAGGAATGAAAGGGTAGTAAAATTTCCCAGGGACACTCAGATACAACATGCCAGTGATGGAATGTGCATTTGGGTTTGCTCTATATTATTGACTTAGAAACTAAATTACACCGTATCATTTGTAGACAAAAACGGAAAGCTTTTGTGGAATATACAAACCAAGACAAGTTAAGATCAGTTTCTCTGATCTAAAACTCATATTCATCCCCATGCAAAGTGCTTTATTTTTCTGAAAGTCCAAAGCAATTTAAAAAACTGAACTCTTGATGTACAGTTTTCTCTCAAAAAGTAAATTTGTTGTGAAATAGCCAAATTAAATGTACATCACTGCATATCATCAATATGAAAAGAACTTGGTGTTCATTATCTTATGGATAGTGTCCTTCACTTCCTTATTCCTCATACTGTAGATTAGAGGGTTCAGCATGGGGATCACCACTGTGTAAAACACGGAGGCCACTTTGACCGTGTGCCTGGAGTTCTTGGAGCTGGGCACACAGTAGAGAAACAGGATGGTGCCATGGAAGATGCTGATGGCCATCAAGTGGGAAGCGCAGGTGGAGAAGACTTTGCGGTGTCCGCTGGCTGAGCGCATCTTCAGAGTGGTGCCAACAATGAACACGTAAGACATGAGGATGATGAACAGTGTGCTTATCTCATTAAAAGTGGCAACAGTGAAGAGGAGGACCTGGCTGAGATAAGAATCAGAGCAAGAGAGGGAGATCAGGGAGGATAACTCACAGAAGAAGTGATTGATGGTGTTGAAACCCCGAAAATCCAATTTTAAAGCAGAACATGTAAGTGTCAAGGAACACACTACCCCCCATGCATAAGATCCAAACACCAGCAGGGCGCAGAGTTTCTGGGACATGACAACCGTGTAGAGCAGCGGGTTGCACACAGCCACGAAGCGGTCATAGGCCATGACAGCAAACAGAACCAATTCAGTCACCACAAAGGTGCAGAAGAGAAAGAATTGCACCATGCACCCTGAGAAAGAAATGCTTCTGTCTTCTACAACTAGGTTCACCAGCATCTTGGGGGCAATGATGGTCGAATAGCAGAAATCCGCAAATGAGAGGTGGCTGAGGAAAAAATACATGGGGGTGTGCAATTTCGGGTTAATTTTGATGATCACAATCATCCCAAGATTTCCTAGTACACTGAAGCTATAGATGGCCAGAAATATCAAGAAGAGGGGAGCCTTCAGTTCTGGGTAATCTGAGAATCCCAGGAGGGTGAACATGGCCTCAGAAGTTATATTTCTCTCTGTCAGAAACATGTTTCCTTTTGGTAAGATCTGCAAATCAGTCTTGGAAAAAAAACATGGAAAATGATTGACACATAGAGATGATGCTTAACTCTCCCCTCTGAAGAATATAGGGTGAGACATCATAGACTTTTTAATTATCTTGTTATGTATAAGGTATCAAGATATAAAAAAACCAAAGTTTCAGAAATAGAATCATTGATATACATTACTTTCTTAAAAATTTTGCTAATATTGTAAAATATAATTATAGTCATGCAAGGTAATTATTAACTTAAGCCATAGGGATGGTGACAAGTAGTCAAATTCTCATGAGAAATATTCAAATGTCACTGAATGCCATGAGCTCTGCAAAGAAAAATTTAGAAAAAGAAATAATTTGTTATGTTGGCCCTACAATTACTAATGAAAGGTAGAAGCATTTGAAACAACTTTTGTAGTTATAACTGGCCATGATATAATTTTTTGTTTAGCATTTTAATCATTCATTATGACTATTTATGTCAGATATAAAAGCCAGTAATTGCTTCTGATTTTTTTGTAACAAAGTTAATGTATTAAACTGCTTTCTTCTGCAGATGAGCAAAGTGAAGATTTAAGAAGTCATGACTTGCATGATAAAATACTAATATTAGATTATCAATAAATCTAGTTTCCTCCACTCTCAGTAAAATAATCATTTCTCAAAGGCAGGCTCTGATTTGCATAACAAATAGGTATCTTAACATTTAACTTTATAAATATCACATGGGGTACTCAATTTCCTGCTTCTTTTGACTCTCTTTAAGATAGGCTTTACATTATAAAAGTGTGGAAATTGAAAATAGTGAGGGCCACAGATATGCTTCAGTATTGGTGTTAAGTTTGTACATAGAAAGTGGAATTCAGAGGAAGATTCCCATTTAGGAGCAATTATGAAAAATCTCCCTAAAAATAGACAAGGACACTTTGTTGTCCTATGCTGCTCTGTCTAAAAGCCTAAAAACCATCTGCAACACTCAGTGTGTCTCTTTGTTACCTCTCAAGAAAAGAAATGGGAATGTTGGGACTCACCCCACTCAGGAGGCACTTGTGAGAGTGGGATTCTTATTATACAGAGATCATTCACGTTTCTCTGACTAGCATCCACGCAGGATCTGCACATGAATTTCCGGATGCTAGTTGTCTTTCAGAAAAATAATGGTGAGACGCAAATATTTCACAAGCTATAAGCATACTAAGAAATTATTCTTCTTTATCTAAAGTTCAAACTTAACCTGGCCTCCTATATTTTGCTTACTAAATCACTCAAGGCTATATCCCTAAAAACAGAATCTAAGAATAGTACAGCAACCAACACATCCATTTCTCCCAGACCTTTCCTCAGATTGGTGCTCTGAGTCCCTCATGAACAAGGAGCTCCCTGAATCACACACCCTCATAATGCAGACAGTCATTTCCGATAAAAACTTCTCTTCTTTTACCCAAGTGCTAAATTCTGGGAAATCCTTCACTATACATGTAGGGAGCTGTAGCACCCCCAAAACTACCCATGGTCCTATGTGTTCAGGTGTCTAATCATTTAAGAACCAATGAGAAGGCAATATTTTCCAGTGTATTATCACGGTCATAATTCTTTCATATTGTTCTATTGAAGGGCTTCCAAACCTCAGGTGTATTTACCTTCGGAGCCTGGTGATTCTTTGTTATGAGAAGGCTGCCCTGTGAATTCTTATAGGTAGAGAAGAATTTCTGAGCTTCATTCACTGGACAAGACTGTCACTAATGCCAGCTGGGTGTGAAAATGGAAGAGGAATGGAGCAGAAGAAACATAATCTCTTGTAGTTAAGAATTACTGCTACAGGGCCAGGGAATTAGTTCAGTGGTTTTGTCACCTGCTGTGTAAATGGTAGGACCTGAGTTCAATCCTCTGTACCAAAAAAAACCCACAAAAAAACAGAATTACTGCTACATTTCCTCAGTACTGGTAGATTTTAATGATATTTTTTTCTGTCTGATTTCAACATATGACTAAAGTGTAATTTGAATATCATGGATCCATATTTCCAAAATGGTATTATTTTATGTATTAAATAATATGTAATTTGTATTATCTTTAAATCTGACCAATGCTGTATTTAGACTTTTCTTCATTTTTTTTCCATTAATGAGACCAATTTTTCCCCATACTATACAATTTTATTTAGATCAAGTCCCCTTTTTTCTCTAGAAGGGTCATTCTATTCCTTTCAATTTAATTTCATTTAAATTTCTCTTTTTTTTTGCAGGTAAGTCTAAAAATTCACAAGTGCAAGGCAGTGTATCTGTGGATATACACATATTGTGGAAAATTCTCAGGTTCTTCTTCTGCTCATTCCCATGCCTCCAAGGTAGAGAAGACTAGCTAAGCCATATTGCCTAAGTAAACTGTACATAGTACACCTCCTGTTTCCTGCATTTGCAGGACATAATGTCTATAATAGTACCAATTTTCCCTAGAATATTTTCCCAGGAAGAATCTACAAAAGCTGAGGCATCTACTAGATATCTTACACAGGAAACATCATGCCTATGTTCTCAGACCTGGAGGAACAAACCTACCGGGGGAAAGACAGTCTCCTCCTGCCTCTGGAGAGCTTGTTTGGAGGAGAAGCAAACATTCTTATTCCTATTGCTGCTCCCTGTGGTGTCATGTCCTAGAGATAACTGATTGACTATTTCTCCAGGGCCATAAGAACAAGCAATTAAAATTAACTACTCTTCATGGTGTAATTCTCATTTCATAGAAAAATTATGAAAAGACAGCAGCTGCTTACAAACATTTTTATGAAATTTAGCTTTATTGAATGTCATTTCCCTGTGCTCCCACATCACTCACATAGCATCCCATTATTATTATGAGCATGATCATTATCATTGTTATTATAACTTTGCACAATGACAAATTGTAACTGGAGTTATTTATTTAGTGATCATTTCTTAAATACCTCTCCTTTGTCATTGCAAAAGTTAATTGCATCTTTGTGACACTAACCACAACTTGGTTCTGCCTCCAGTTCCTAGGCTGCTCCGTGACATTCTGTCATGGAAGTGTACCCAGCATCTGCTCTGGTGCTGCAGATAAGGCTGCAGATGCTCAGCATTTGGTTCCCACAGTCACTAGCAGGAGCTCAATCCGGTTACACCAATCCATTAGGGTGTCTCATGTCATTGACAACACGCACGTATTCCCTATAGAAGAATACACTGTCTACCATTCACACAAAAATGATCTCTGCCTCTAACACCATACCTCTTCTCTAATTCACTTTTACATACCAATTTCTATAAGATTCAAATATTCTGATTATCTTTTCCAGTACCATTTACATTTATTTTGATTATATTTTGTTGTCTTTAGGCCCATAAATTTATATATATATATATATATATATTTGCACTGGGCATCAAAGTCAGGGTCTTGCACTTGCCAGGCAGACGCTGTGCCGCTGAGCTACATCCCGGCCCCTCAATGTATCTTTATATTAAACTGCCATTAAAACAATGCTTTTAAAAATCAGCTTATATTTATATATTTGTTTGAATATGCATAAAATATTTTCAACTGGATATTTTTCATATAGTTGAGTGAAAAGAAGAGAAAGTAGACCATGTGACTATAACAATTCTTCCCCCCCAAAAAATAAATTAAATAACTATAAACTAAATGTAAATAAGTAAATGAATTCTTTAATGACCATATTGCTCCCAGTTTGTAAATCTGAATGATGTTGAGCTGCTTATATATTCATAATAAGGTTCCTAAGAAAAGAAACCCAAAGCCCTCTCCAGTAGACTCAATATTCCTCACATTCTCACAAATTTCTGTATCCATAAATATTATAAACATATTACCTGTCTATATTATGAATTTGCCCATTTATGAAATATTTCATTAGTTTGTGATTTTTAGCTTATCATTTATCATATCCATACATAAAAATATTGTCTGGGTATGAAATCTGCCATGAATTCTTCTGATTATTTCAGATCAACTTTATTATTTTTCACTAGTCATAATTTCTGTGATTATGTAATTGGTCATTACCCTCAGTGTGACCAGTGTGACCACAGTGTGACCTAGTGATTCATTTATGCATTTGGCTGGCTTCCTCTCCAAGTACAATGTGGATCTCAGGTGACCTCCTTCCTCTCCTTGGGTTTCTATATTTCTGTGTCTAGTCAAGAGGGAATGTATGCATGTGTGAAAAGTTATTGAGCAGAACATTTATCTTTATTTCCTAAAATAGTTGCTCTAGTGTTGATCTTCTTCGTGTTAAAAGCAAACATGTGTCCACTGATGAAGTTTATTTTAATTGCTACAGCCAGAGTAGATCACAAGTCATATCAACTAGCCTTCTAGATTTGTTTAAACTATTTGAACATTGTCCTTTGGTTTGATCATCAAATAGTCATGAATTGAAAGTTCTGGGTGAGATATGAAAGTTCAGCATAAATGTGTAATAATATGGGCTCAGTTGCTGCTCATCTTTCCTGACAGAATTTCAGACATTTGAAAAACTAAATTCCTTCATTTATTCTAGGGCATACTTTCATTTGTTAAGCTTTTTGCATATAAAGATTAGAATTAATAGGGAAGGTGTCATGGTGTCATAGTTTAATTACATAAAGTTATTTATTTTGAGAAATAAATCTCAGTTGTCCAAATGTGGTGATACACACCTGCAGTCTCAACACTGGGAAGGCTGGGGCAACAGAATGACCTTGAGTTCAAGGCCAGCCTGGGCTACACAGTGAGTTGAAGGCCAGCCTAAACTACACACAGAGACCTTGTCTCAAAAAAATAAAAATTAAAAATCTCAGTGAGAAAACATTGTCAAAATTTAATCTCAAAAAATGCCATGAAGTTTGCAGAATTAGACAATGTACAAAGTGAAATGGACATTAGTTAAAATACATGACAAATTTTCAAAATCAGGGTCAAAACTGCAATCCTAGTTTTGAAGAACTTGAGACTAATGCTTTTCTAATATAAATACAAGGATAGAAGCTTCATTTAAAGAAGTGATTGCAAATGTAGACACTGACAGAAATAATAGTGAATTTACAAAGAAAATGTGGATGGCAGGTAATAATGTTGAAGAAAGTCAGCTAAAGAGAGACAGAGACAAAGAATGAGTCTCATGTAAGGAGTTATTCCAAAGTTTTGTACATTCCATGCAATTAATTTTTTCCTAAAATTCTTTTAAAATAATAATAATTTTCCCCTTCCTCAAATGAGGTACTATGAGATCTTCCAAAAACTCTATCTATTGCAACACCAACTAAGATGATAAGAGAAACAAGGTAAAAGCAATTAGCAGTATTCAGGCACAAGTGGAGGCCGCATTTTGTGCAGAAGCTGTTTGACAAGGGAATGTTCTTCATTGCAAAGCACCAAGAATTCATTTTGGGATTCTTTAAGTGTAGCAAAAGCTGTGTGGCTCTTGTGAGTTCTTGAATAAGCTAATAAAAGTTTACACTAAATTAAAAATCTGGGCCTTACGAGTGCTATTATCCTCATCAATTTAAAATTTTATTGGTTGAAAAAGAAAGTAGACTATGGATTTCAAAAATACTCATTTCTACCTTTGTAAATCGAAAACACATAGGAGTTAAATTGTCATTATTTGCTAACACATAAAGTATATTTAAAAAGACTCACTCGTATCTACACAGACACTTGGAGTTCCCTCTGGCTCGTCAGCCCACGCTTACACCCTTACACTGTCTTCACATTGGAACTCTGAGTTATTTAATTTTACATTTTCTACACAAAAGGAAAAAATAAAAAAAAGCTTTGTACATAGTGAGAGGAGGAGGCTTGAGGGAGGGGAGAATGGGAAAAAGACACGGATGTACTGTGTACTGGTGCAAATTCCCGGCAATGAGCCCCAACATTATGCATGCCTAAAATATACCAATGGATGTCTTGCTATTAAAAAGATAAGTAAAGGCTGGAGGGAGAAGAACATTTACATTTTCTAGTTAAATATTTTGTAGCCCAGAACATTTTGGAGAGCTTCTTTCACGTCCTTGTTCCTCAGGCTGTAGATCAGAGGATTTAGCATGGGAATCACGACAGTGTAGAACACTGTGGTAACCTTGTCAACATCCAGATTATTGCCAGAAGTGGGCTGACAGTAGATGAAAAGTATTGTTCCATGGAAGACAATGATGGCCATGAGGTGGGAGGCACAGGTAGAAAATGCTTTGTGCCTTCCCTCGGCCGAGCGCATCCTCAGGATGATGGTGAGAATGAGGGAGTAGGAAGTGAGCATGATCACAGTGGTGAAGATTTCATTGAAATTCACCACAATGAAGAGCAGAAGCTCATTCATGGTGACATCGGAGCAAGCAAGACCTAAGAGAGGGGGCAAGTCGCAGAAGAAGTGGTTGATCACATTGGACTTGTAGGATTGAACCCCAACAGCTGAGCACAGGTGAATCAGGGAACACACAGAAGCATAGAGGTAACAACAAGTAACCAGTATCACGCAGAGCTTCTGGGACATGATGACCATGTACAGCAGAGGGTGACAGATGGCCACAAAGCGGTCATATGCCATCACGGCCAGTAGGAAGACCTCACTGACCACACATGTGCAAAACAAAAAGAATTGTATTCTGCATGCCACCAAGGAGATAGTTTTGTCGTTGTTTAAGATATTAGCCAGCATCTTTGGCACAATGACTGAGGAGTAGCAGAAATCTATGAAGGACAGGTGGCTGAGGAAGAAGTACATGGGGGTGTGGAGTCCAGGGCTGACCTGAATCAGTGCCGTCATGCCCAGGTTGGCCAAGACAGTGACTCCATAGATGAGAAGGAACAGCAGAAAGAGGACGAGCCTCAGCTCAGGAACATCAGAGAGGCCAAGGAGAATGAACTCCATTACCATGGTGCAGTTTTCCTCCACCATTTTCACTCAAGTCAGCAAAACTCATTGAGAAACTGTGTTACTTCTGGGAAGAAATGAGAGAAAAAACTCAGGCTTATTTTAACTTCAAGGAAGTATAAAAATGTTGTCAAGCATATATATACATGGCATGTAACAGAAGCAAATTTGTCACATTGTAAAAAATGCTAAATAATTGTCAGAACAACTCAAATATGTATGTTCATGCATCCCACTGGAGAAAATTAACTTAACCATCAGCAATAACCTGAAATGATTCCCATTCACTCACCACTAAAGTGCATTTGAGATAGTTATTGAAATAGGGGACATGGTGGGCTTTGACAAAAAGATAATGACTCCTTTAATGGTGCATAAAATTTAATTTCTAGTCAATAAAAATGTTACTTTGTTATGTCCAAGGAGTGTGGGAGCTCCTATGGTTACATATAATACTTACCATACTGCAGTTGTTGGTGTTCCATTTATTCATAACATAAATTGGCAGCAGACAATTCTCTACAATTCCATTGTGGGGGATCATGAAAAATTTCTTTAAATTTAGTGGCTCATGAAGACTGTATACGTTTGGAAATGTTCATCATAGGAAAAGAAGATTTGAAACCTACTTTGACATCCGTAATCATTTTTATTCATCACCTCAACAAATTTATTTAATTCATTTTAATGGTCATTATAAAGACCTATAATGATGGAGAAATAGGAACATTTGCATGCAGTTGGTAAAACGAATTAAGCAACAGATATTCAAAGTTTTAATACCACAACAATATAAATTATTTTTATTTAAAGATTTAATTACTAATAATATAGCATTATGACTCAGAGTGAATTGCATAAATATGAATACCTAGGTTCAAAGTTCTAGTATTGTTTGTGATTTTAATAATAAACCATTTCAGTTAAAAGTGGAAGAATTGTTAAGCCATGGTTCATCCTACTTGGGGTCAAAAATTGTCATAAACATTCAGATGATGTTTTCAAAATGATTATATTGTAAAGACGATACCAGTAGGACACAGGATCATACAGGAAGGTGTAGATGAGAATGTGTATGTAGATATGTGCAGATAGATAGATAGATAGTCATCAACTTAATTTGGCTACAGTCCTGACCCAAAGATACTTCATCCATAGTTTTATTAAAGCACTGTCCAACTTTCTAAGATCTATCAAACAGATGTGGTAACACGAGGGCAATAAACTCTGTCACCATGGTACAGTTCTCCACCATTTCCAGCACCCTTCAGGTTAGGGAAAACAATTGAGAAATTCTGTACTGCATATAAATAAAGACTACCATCTGGGCCTTTGTTTTAAGACATCTAACGGAAATTAGGGATCCGCCCAGCACCACAGCACACACCTTTAATCCCAGCATATGGGAGGCTGAAGTGGAGCACTGTGAGTTTGAGGTCAATTTTGCCTACAGAGGGATTTCAAAAGTGGTCTGTACTATATGGTGAGACCCTGTCTCAGAACAGAGCAAAACAAAAATTGTGCTTTAATTCTTGTCCTCTTTTTGTATTGCAGGAAGAGAAGACACATGACTTGATTAATACTCAGCAATAAAGATTGTGTGAAGATCCTGTGGACCAGAAACATGGCCTGGTGTTTTCTCCATATCTGGAACTATTTAAAGAAAAGAAAAGAAGATTTTTCTCCTGACACCATGGTTTTTTCATTATAGGCCTAAAAACAAACAAACACAACAACAACAAAAATAAAGCAGGATGTTTGCCTGGGTAGAAGATGAAAATTCTTTTTAAAATATAAGAAACATATCTATAGTAAATCCAAAGCAAGTGTAAATGATTCTTCTCCTTTGTTAAGCAGAGGAAGTTCTCATGCAGGAAAGAGCCTGCAGGCTCAAAGTTCAATCCTCAGGATTAGCAAGCAATGACTAATGTCAGCTGGATTTTCATCATAAATTATAGATTTCATGAAAGAAATGTGGCGAAGGAAGGAGAGACAGAGAGACAGAGACCACCACTTTGTTTTGTCTGTAATTTTCATCTACATTAGAGATTTGTCTGTAATTTTCATTTGATTTCTCACCAACTCTCTTCCAAATAAAAGACAAAAACATTTTTAAGAGTAACTGCACAAGATAAGGATTCCTATTAAAGTTTGCTAGAAGATATATGAGACATACCTGCAATATGATTTTGCTTTAGATAAATAAAATATATTCATTTCCATTTTCAAATAGACAGTATAAAGATTTGTTGAACAAACCTGAAAAATATATTTCTTCCATGAATCCTAAGATGTGAATTCCATACAGTACAGTATTTATACTGCAAATTAAGCTCTTGGGAAATGGGAAATAAAAATTACTCTGGATGGCATATCAAAAACATAATAAAAGTTGAACTGAAATCTGTGTCACGGAAAACTCAAAAATAATTAATCCCTTTGGAATATTTTCAGAAAATTTGTTTTTAATCACCCTAATTTGGCTGTCTACTATACAGTAGGGTGAACACAGTTAATAATACTCTTTATACATTTTTAAAAGAGAGAGAAGAGAGAATTTTCTATGTTCTCATGACAAAAAATGAGAAGTACTTGAGGTGAAGGATACAGAAATTACTCAATTTGGATATTACCCAACATACACATGTATTAAAACATCATACTGTGCCCATACAATACCCTTACACTTATTACATAGCCAATTAAAGTAAATAAAAATCCCCTAATTTGAGAATCAATCTTCTAAAACCAAACATTCCACCTTCTAGTCATCAATTATGTTCATTTGTGGAACTCAACATCCAGGTATATAATACATGAGCCATACCACATATTGCTATTTTGAAATAGCCTGAATATTTCTCATGGACTTTCTTTTTCTAAAAATATAAATTTTAAAAGATAGATTTAAATTTATGTGGGCCAGGGATTTAGCTCAGTGGTTCTGCTGCCTGCCTCACAAGCTCAAGGACCCGAGTTCGATCCCCGGTACCAAATAAATAAATAAATAAATAAATTTATGTGAAAAAATTCAAAAAATTTTACATAGGCTTTGGTAAAAAGATTTTTAAATTGCTTACAAATTTATTACAGAAATACAAATACAATTTTAAAAAGAAGTATAATATTTTAATGTACATTATTTAAAGCAGATATAATCGAATAGGAATATGTGTGAGATGGAAAGAGGCAGAAAACCACACCATGACAGAATTCCTTCAAATTCCAGAAGGTCAATGGGTTTGGCAGTCAGACATCTCTAACAGCAGCTCACACTTGGACATTTTCCATATGTTAGAATCTGTCTAGGCCTTATGTAAGTATTTGTACATCTGACAGCCAGTCAAGAGGATCTTTTGCTTCCATGCCTGGGGTACAAATGAGAGGATGGAGAAGATGGAGGTCTAAATCAGTTTCATTGTAGTCAAAATCCAAAAAATCTGTAGGAAGAGGCAATGTGCTGGTTTCACTGCTCACGGTCAGTATGGAGAAGAGCTCAGACTCAGAGCAGTGTCAGGATGTGTTTTCCAAAACCCATATCCAATGCCAGCAGGCACCACGTGGGACCACACCAATAAGGTGTTCTAGGGCGCTCTTCTGCCCTTGAAACGTTAACCTAGGCCCAGGATTGAATATGTCTCTGTGTATCGTTGGGTGCATACCATGAGTTTTCAAGGAGTTCATGTTAAAAAAAGTCATTTCTAAGAAATTATTGTTTATATTCTCAATGGTGAATAGAATGTTCCAGATACCTCATGAGAAGCCCCAGGAGACATTCTGGTTCTCCGTTCAAACATCCCTTTTCACATTTTACAAAAGAAAATAGAACCTCTGGCCAACACATATAAGGTGAATTTTGCCCCTGAGTAAGATCCTACTGGCTAAAAGAGGGTGACCCTGGAATACAGTTGTTTTAGGGCTGTTGCAATTTATTTTAACTCTTCAGTACATGCACGTTAAATTCACGTCATGGTTTTCTGCCTCTTTCCATGTCACACATACTCCTATTAGATCATATCTATCACATTTCTTTGTAAAATTGTATTTGTATTTCTGTAATAAATTTGTAAGCATTTAAAAAATATTTTTACAAAAGTCTATCTATAATTTTTTGAATTTTTTTCTCCTAAATTTAAACCTATCTTTTAAAGTATTTATTTTCCTGAAATTCTCGAGATCTAACCCAGGCCTTGTGCATGATAGGCAAGCACTCTACAAATAAGCTATATTCTGGACCCATATCTTCATTGACTTAATGTTAGGGCATGGTACAAAGTAAAGGTTTAAATTCACCCTTTCTTTCATATGGCTATCTCACTAGTCATCACTTTTCTTGAAAGAGTATTCTTAATAAGGGTTTGCATTGACAGGATTAATAAAGTCAACCAATTAGAACTGTGTTTATTTTTGGACTTCAATTTTATTACTGTGGTGATCATTTTTACTTATATTAGTAAAAATTATGATGTTTTTTGAAATGTCCATCATCATACATTCTCTTCTTTAGCATAAATTAAATTTAAGTATCGGATTCCTTTTTTTTTTTTGAGTTAGGGTCTTCCCTGTATTTCCCAGGCTGCCCTGGATCTCAAACTTGAGATCCTCTTGGCTCTGACAGTCAAATAACCAGGTCTATACTTATAGCCATGCACCACCACGTCTAGCCTAAGCATTTTTCTATTTGTATTAAAATGATATCAGAAATATGACTGTTTCCTGAATTTCACTTTCAGAATTTATTTCAATATTATATAGACATAAAATTAGTTTGCATCGTCCTTTTTATAATGTGACCTTCAAGAAGGCCATTATTTGTTTTAGAAGACTCTGTGTGTGTGTGTGTGTGTGTGTGTGTGTCTGATTGGATATTGCAAGGAGGAAGATGAAAACTAAAGAAGATGAATTTCTTGCAGAATCCATAAACTAGGGTCATAACACAAATCTTCGATTTTATGGGCTGAGACCAATGCTTTTCTTGGATTTGCAGACAAGCTGATGAGCTTCATTTAAACAAATGGATAGATTTTAGAAAATCCTAATGGGGTTGAAATGAAAGTGTTAATTGTATACATGACTAGAAATAATTGAAGACGTGTGGTTTAATTACACAGCAGAGGACAGTCAAAGTGGACATTGCATTAAGACCAAAGACACTTTTGGAGAACATGCACAGAAGTTAGAAAAACTCTTATAAATGACATCAAGCGTGTTCTCCACAATTCAGTACAATGTTAAACCATGCAGGTAAAAAGGTAAAGTGAGAGAAGACACAGCTCAGCAATGCTTCTACCCAAAATAATGTTTAAATTTCAAATCATATACATATTCATGTACATGTGTATATATATGAAAAAGTTGTAGAGACAAACCCTCTAGAAATTAAACTACTCATACATGTTTTCAGCTTTTGCAATTCAATAATCTCGTTATTTGTGAAAGGGTCGTTATTTTCTTCTTTATGAAATGACATATTATCAAAGGTTCAAACAACACATAATATGAGAAAAATAGGAGAAAAGAGAAAAAAAAAGAATGTGAAGAATGAAAGAAATAAAACCATGAAAATAGGCATGCAGACCAAATTCTCATTCTGGGCACAATTTGTCAACATTCTGTTCTGCATTATGAAATTGCAGATATTCTATTTTGAAAGAATCATAGTTTCCATCTTGGATATTGAAATTATGGGACTATGGTAAATTCTTTAAATCGTGAAGGTTTTACACCAAACTAAATTCGTGTGTTTTAAAGTGCCATTACCCATATATATTTAAATATTACGATTTAAAAATAAAGAAATTGGCTAAAATTTAGAAGCATGTTTCATCCTACACTTGTAAATGGAAGAGATAAAAAAGATAACTCGATCTAAAAGACATAACTGCTCATCTCCTTCCTACGTTCCCCATCTCCAACACTACAGTGTGTCTATTCACCCCTCCACCCACCATTACTTTAGAATTCTGAGTCCCAAAGATGAAATGTTCTCTAGCACTATACTTTAGAGCTGACAACTTTCCTGAGAGCTTCTTTGACATCTTTGTTCCTCAGGCTGTAGATCAGAGGGTTCAGCATGGGAATCACAACAGTGTAGAACACAGTGGCCACTTTATTAGAATCCCCACTGCTGTCTGAGTTGGACCTGTAATAAATGGAAAGGATTGTTCCATGGAAGACAGTGATGGCCGTGAGGTGGGAGGCGCAGGTGGAAAACGCTTTGCGCCTTCCCTCAGCTGAATGCATCCTCAGGATGGTGATAAGGATGAAGGAGTAGGAGGTGAGGATGATCACAATGGTAAAGATCTCATTGAATGTGGCCACGATGAAGAGCATAAGCTTATTCACTGTAACATCGGAGCAAGCAAGACCTAAGAGAGGGGGCAGGTCGCAGAAGAAGTGGTTGATCACATTGGACTTGTAGGATTGAACCCCAACAGCTAAGCACAGGTGACTCAGGGAACACACGGATGCACAGAGGTAGCAGACAGAAACCAGCTCTATTTGGAGCTTCCGGGACATGAGGACCATGTACAGCAGAGGGTGACAGATGGCCACAAAGCGGTCATACGCCATTACAGCCAGTAGGAAGATCTCACTGATCACACATGTGCAAAACAAAAAGAATTGTATTCTGCATGCCACCAAGGAGATGTTTTTGTCATTGTTTAAGATATTAGCCAGCATCTTTGGCATGATGACTGAGGAGTAGCAGAAATCTATGAAGGACAGGTGGCTGAGGAAGAAGTACATGGGAGTGTGGAGTCGAGTGCTAACCTGAATCAGTGCCGTCATGCCCAGGTTGGCCAAGACAGTGACTCCATAGATGAGAAGGAACAGCAGGGAGAGGATGAGCCTCAGCTCAGGCACATCAGAGAGGCCAAGGAGAACAAACTCCGTTACCATGGTGCAGTTTGCTTTTCCCATGTGTCTACTTTGTCTGTGGTTGAAGCAAAAAGTAAAGTCATTCTTCACATAATCCAAAATTAATTTTAGGTTTCTCTAAAAAAAAAAAATCAGAAGCAGTAGCAGAGTTAATTTTATCTGCAAAGAAGTTAGACACTTTTCATTTGGAATTTAATAAAAGGGAAGGCATTGTATAATAGAGATGCCTAAAATACACAGTTTAAATTAGAGATGAGACAACGTCATTACCATGTATAAAACTTTAGGTGGTAGTCCATTTTTTCATAATTTCACTTTGGCACAGAATCATAAAGAAAAAGGTCAAAGTATTATTTAATTATCCTCATTTCTCTAAAAATTCTTAATTCTTATTACACAACAGACTTTTAAATCAATACTCTCAATATTCAGGTTCTAGGAAATTATTTTTAAAACATAAGATAAGCTTTCTATATTGTCCCTGAAGTGATGAATTAGGCTTAAAATTATTAATCTATAAATGTTTATATTTAATTAGTAATTTTAAATTGAGAACATATATTCCATATTTTATGTTACCATTTTCCTTATAAAATTAGCAAATATGATCTTTTTTCATTACTCAAGTACAGCCTTTCTGTAACTGTGACACTGCAACTTTAAGAGGACCTAAACATTCCACTGTGAATCTCTACAAAGACCAATTAAAAATGCACATAGGAAATCATTAAGAAAAATGCCCATTGACCTCACATCACTATTCATGATACTAAAGCTTAGAAATGATATGATGATCTGAGAGTTTTCAAAATTATGATATATATATGAGATAAAGTGTGCAATTCTTAAAATCATAGTTTTGAGTAATTTTAATGACTTGAAAATGTCATCAAGATCAGAACGTATTAACATATATATTCGATACTTTTGAAACAACAGAATGTCATTTATACTACTAGTTTCTATTAGTTAATTGAAAATTGTGTTCAGATTTGGTTGTCGATGTCTTGTACTCTGAGTAGTTTGAAGATAATTATGTACATAATCTAACTGCATTAACTAATGTCATTTTTATTATGTGTTTATGAAATTTTCATTTTTTCGTAAAGAAAAAAGTACTAGATGACTGTTTAAAAATAAAAATGGCTACTTAATTTCAGTAAGCCAGATAATGCCTGCAAATATTATATATATGTATATATGTAGCATTGTATATTTAATCCTGAAAACACCCACAAGCATAAATATTTCTATTCATGAATAAACATTACGCACTGCAAACTTACACAAAAAAAGGAAGGGGATCAAGCAGTGGATGGAGAGGAGAGGGAGGGAAGGAAGGGGGATGAAGAAAGGAACGAAGATGTCTTATGTGCAGTTACCAACTTCCCACATGGAACACAAACATCATGTACTTCTCACAAGTGCTAATAAACCAAAATAAAGGAATCTAGAAACTTGCCTGGATTCTCAAAAGCACACACACATTTTATGAGTTACAGTGGGCAGGACGGTTGACCTTTTAAAATAAAGGGCAGACGATCACATTCTGGACCCAGGCCCATGGCGCGCGCTGAGCGGTGAGGGCCTCAGTCTCTCGGACACTCACACAAACCCGAGGCCACGCGGCTGGTGGCAGGGCTTCCTGGAGGAGCCTTTGTCTTACCCAGAGACCTTCTCGGCCTGGCGTTTACTGCATTCGTCTACGGGTTGCAAAGACGTGCAGGATACGTACATTGATAAATTCCAATTTGAACACAATCGGTTTTTCTGATTATATGGTTTTCTGTTTTCAACTGGCCAGAAAAAAAGTGAATTATTTGCATGCCTGTGTCTGAACTAGAGCATGAGATGTAAACCGCTCCCTTGTTCAAGCGGACAGATGTAAAATCAGGCTGGTGATTGCGGGGAGGGCACTGCCGCTACACCACAGGTGAGTGCGCCCACTGGGAGACACTGCGGTCTCAAGGTATTTTCAACCTGGGGACAGGGAGCGGGCAGCTGACATCTGGAGAGGTGCTAGAAGCTGAGCGGTGCGCGTGGCTGTCTCTCCCTGTCACCCCCTCACCCACACACGGAGGTGTCTGGATTATGATGTCAGCTATGTGAACCTGCTTAGGAGAGACCTTTCAAAGTGTTTTGCACAGAACCAAAATAATTACTGTCCTTTCTGCTGCCAAGGAGTTTCACCCACCACCCTCAGCCTCTGTGTGACTCTCAGGAGACTCTCCGAACAGACTTCGCCAGATGGAACCACTGTGACATTTGTGTAAAAGGAAAGACCACGGAAACAGGTGTCCCCAGCTTGTGTTCACTCCGTTGGCCCCGTCACACTGATAGCTGACCCAGGATGTGGGGCTCTACATTTTAAATAGCTCCCAAGTCCCATGCAGATGGTTCTTTACCACAAAGGCAAAGTGTATTTTGTTAAGTGGCTGCTCAAAGCATAGAATTTCTTAACACATAATCTCACTCGAATAGTGCATGGATTATTTTTTTTCATTCATTATTTTTATTTGTACATTTTAGGTATACAGTACACTGACATTCATTATTGGATCTTGTACCTTTACATGATGTATCTTGGTTCTTATTTTTTCCCCATTCCCCTGCCCTCCCTTCAACCCCTCCACCCCTCCCTATTTACAAAGACTTTGTTTCCACTTTTTTCATTTTCTCATATTAATTCTATTCCCTTCTTTACTTTTTCTGACCCCTCACACTTCCCCTTCCCCTTTGCCCCTTTTCTTCCTATTTCACATTATCTATTATACATTTTGATCCTTATTTACACTTTCAGTTTCTCACACCAGAGAAGCTTCAGTATTTACACATGTGTCCTATTTATTTCACTTAAGAGTATGGGCTCAATGTGCATCCATTTAGCTATAAAAGTCTAGTATCATTCTTTATGGCTGAGTAGAACTCAATATATGCACACCCATGTTCATTGCAACACAGTTTAATAGCTAAAACTTGGAAACTGTCCAATTGCCGATCAACTGGAGACTGGATAAAGAAAATGTGTTTTTTTATATAAAATGCATGGGTTATTTTAAAATAATATCATTACTTCCCACCTTGTGCTACTAACTGTAACTGTAACACATTTCATTGACAAGGAAGAAAGTTCCTAATTCTCAGAAAATATCTTTCTGATCAACCACCCCCTCAAAAAAAAAAAAAAAACTATTTTAAACACCAACCTGTGGAACAGTCTTCACATTGCTTCTCACCTTGTGCTACTAACTGTAACTGTAACACATTTCATTGACAAGGAAGAAAGTTCCTAATTCTCAGAAAATATCTTTCTGATCAACCACCCCCTCAAAAAAAAAAAAAAAACTATTTTAAACACCAACCTGTGGAACAGTCTTCACATTGCTTCTCCTGTCTCTGAAGATATGATGGTGAAAACTGCTATAGGTTTATGTTTGTGCATGTTTCCCTGGTGTCTGTGTTCCCTAAGCAGCTAAAGCAATCATTGATCTCTATGGGTTTTCCACAAGATATCTAGAGAGCTGCTCTCTCCCCCATTAAAACAATTAGTACCACTGTGAGATAAAACCTGCTGAAATGCAAAAAAAGTGGTACATAGTGTCATAATAAAGACAGTTTATTCAGATTTCATTGTGAGTTACAGAAAATGCCCTGCTGCAGCCTGACATCGCCTCTGTGAAGGAAGACTCATGCTGCCAGGGTGTGTTCTATGAAAAGCTCTCAGAAGCTGTGTCCTACACACAAAAGACCCTTCCTGAAAGACAGGGTCTGAGGCCTCATCAGAGATACTCTGAAGACCAGAAAGGAGTGGGCATAGTGAGCCTCCTTTATAGAGAATAATCACAAAGTTGCCCACTTTTCTGAAGATGTTTTATGTAGCAAGTACTATTCCAAATATAACAACTATTAACACATTTCATCATCACAAAAAAAATACGTAAGATTGCTACTTTTAGGATGACTTTATGAATGAGATGCCTGAGCCTCAGTGGTGTATCATTTGCCCTGAATCACACAGAGAAAACCCTGGTAGAAAGAGGACAAATACTGTCATTCAGTTTGCACCACCACAGGACTCTGGGGACAGCATAGCTACCAGGTCCCTCTCCCCATGCAGAGCTAATGGCCATTAAATCCTGATGTTTCGTGATTATCTCCAGGTTTGCTCATTTACTGACTACACAATGTACCAGCTGTGCTCTGTGTGCTCCTAGAAACTCCAGACATTTCAAGAATTTCATGGATGTAAAACAGATGAACAATTTTCAATATTTTATTATATTTTTAAAGCACATAATATAATGACATGAGTAAAATAGTGTACTGGTGAGGTTAAATTGGGACATTAAATTTTCTAAACTTTTTATTTGTTCTTTTAAGCATGGCACCTGGAAGTGGAGAAGTGATAGATATGTTTACACAGTATACAATATGACTTGTGGGAGCCTCCCCAGAATTTCTCAAAGTGAGTGACTCTAATGACTGCATAAAAATCACTCCAATAATTGTTTGCTAAAAACAACCAAAGTTTTTTGCAGGGCTCAGATGGGTAGGTGAAGACCGATCCCAACTTGGGATGGCAGATCTTGGCTGTTTGATCCCATCAGGCAAGTTAGGTGGCTACTGAACTATCTGTGATCATTCACAGGGCAACTGTTCACAATTCCAAGACTGAGCAAGATCCAATTTCACTCCAGCTGCATTCGTAAGGCAAAGGAAGTTATAAGCAGTTTAGATTCAAGGAGTGGAGAAATAGACACTAAGATTTGATCAAAAGAGCTGCAGAGGGGCATGGAAACAGAGCAGTGGAAAATGTGTACAGTATTGTTTCTAGCTTACTACACTTGCTAGCAAATACTGGTGATAGCATGATTTCAATACTTTTGACTTTCAAGAAAAATGAAATCAATCTAATTTTTAATGTATTACCATTAAAATTTTGATGAAAGCTAAATATGGCAAATTGGCACACAAGATAAGTGGAGTTTAAAGTGTTGAATGCTACAAGTATTATAACATAATTCCAGATACAGTATCCATTCCCATTATCTTTGATCATATATTCTCAGTATTGTTATATTAAAATGTTGAAACAAGTTTGATGCTGAATCTTCATGCCTTTTAGCATTTAGTGCTATTTTACTATGAATTCATAAATTAATTGAAGTAAAAATCCAAACCTATATTTCCCATAAGTAAATATTTATAGTGACATTTAAATTTTTTAATTTAATTGTATTTTCTAGATTTGAGTGCTATATTTTAAGGAGTGAGTGATAAATTTATTATTATATTACAAGTTTGACTTAAACTAAAACACTAAACAAAACTTTTCATTTCAAAAGTGTTATGATCAAAATAAATGAAAATATGAATATAATAAATTAAACTGTAATATTCCATATGGGAAATGAAATTATAATGTGTTCAGGAGAAGGAAGGCTGAAAATTTAAGTATTGAAAATGCTCACATTTATACATTTTCAATTAGTTACATTACACAATAGAAAAAACTCTTTTTACCATTTAAATCTATTATAGAATAGAGTGGATGCTGAATTAAATACTGTGGTATAGATATTTTCAGTAGTAATTGACAGAACCATGATCAAATTGCGAAGCATACTAATGGAAGCTATGTGGTCCATAGAGGAAATAGAATGGGACATAAGGATTCTGAAGTGAAACAAACTGACAATGAATATAAGACTGGTTGCCAATATGTGGTAAAAATTGACTGAAATCTTAAAGGACAGTCTTAATTCTGTCAACAATTGTTTTTATACCTTTGGTCAGATTGCTGTAATGGTTGCTCTTGGATTATCAGATAAAAACTGTACATTTATTGCACAAAAATGTGGACATCCTTTCTCCAAGCAGGGCTGAAGAAAATGCAAGTTGGATATTGAGAGATTATTCATCACTAGCTTAATTTAACATCATGATGTAACATCACTTAAATTCAAAGAAAATTAGAAATTATGTGTCAGATGTGTCATGAAACATAAAATCATAAGTATCTAAAGAAACACAATTTGATACAATAGAAAAACTAGTCCCTCATCAGGTATCTAATACTTAAAATAATATTTATTATATTTTTATCTTTCTGTATAAATTATTTAATTAATATTTTATGTAATACTGTGTATAGAAGAAACATTTTAATAATGATCATAATTTCAAAAGAATGTATCCATACAAAACATTCTTTTTCCCATATAAAATTGTGCACAGGGTTATATTTTTTCTCCCTTAATGAAACAGGAAATGTATGGAAAGTTATCTCTTCCACTGTGTCATAGTCACTTTCCATGCTGGACAAAATATTCAACACACACAACTTAGAGGAAGAAAATTTTATTTGGGCTCAAACTTTTATTCCGTGGACTGCTGGATACAAGCAGAAAAGTCATGGTAGAAGACAATGGTAGAGGAAAGCTTATCTCCTAGCAATTAGGAAGCAGAAACTGAAAGGAGGAGCTGAGGGCCAAGATATACCTTTCCAGGACATGCCCAAAGTGACCCACTTCTTCCAATCAGATCACATCCTGACACCACATTCAGCTATGAACTCTCAAGGGATAAAATCACTAATAACTATAGTGACCTATGACCCAATCACCTTCTGAAAACCCAACCTCAGAGCACAAGAGGCTTTGGGGGTCATTCTTGTTCTAAATAATGACACTAGGCCCCAGTCCCCAAAAGATCCATGTCTATATCATTAGGAAAAATGCATCTAGTCCACCTCTAAGTGTCACCAAAGTTTTAACAAATCCCAGCATTGCTGAAAAGTCCAAGTCCAAATTCTCCTCTGAGACTCAAGGCAAACTCCTAGTTGTGATCACCTGCTAAAATCAAATAAACATTTCTGACATAAAGTGTGACAAGGTAAACATTCCCATTCCAAAAGGAAGAAAGGGGTGATAGAAAAGAAACAGACCAAAACAAAACAAAAACCTCACTTATTTTTCACACAAGATATTTTTTTAGATCCAATCTCTCAGTATCAAACTTCTGTTGAGTTCCGTCATAGATTATCATACTATCACACTGGAGTTTCTTTAAAAACACATTGAGAACTAGATATGGTGACACATGCCTGTATTCCCAGCCATTCAGTAGGGTGAAATAGGAGAATCAAAAGTTCTAGGTCAGGATGGGAACTTGGTGAGATTCTGTCTCAAAATATAAGGAAAATGTAACTTAGAAATTTGAATGTTGAATTTCAGGACCACAAAACAAACAAAAACAAAGCACATCAGAGATGTAGACAATATATTAATCAAATTTCATGCCAAGTAACATCTATATTCTACAACACATGTACACATAATATATACATAGTTTAATCACATAAGTTCAATAAAATATTTGTTGCATCTGTTCTTCAGTATTACATTCTTAAATACCTGTTTTTATTTGTGCTTTTTTTTTGTCCTTGACAAATTCTTTTTCTAAACTGAAAGGGATGTGTAGAATTCTACTCATTTCCTTTGCTGAAACTACATTTAACTGATACATATTTTATAATGACATCCTACCATTTCTCTGTACATTTTTAAATTTGCTTTTCAGAATATCTATATAATACTTATTACTTTGTCTTAGCAATGGTCAACTAGTTCACTGAAATACTATCAACACTAGCTTTTATATTATTGAAAACAATTACTATGCATTATCTTAACTATTAATTTGTACTTTAGAAGAGTCATTCCTGTTTATTTAAAGCCTACTCTAATCAGCATATAAGATAGTATAATGGAAATAATATTTATTAAGTTATGCATGGTAATACACAGGAAACATAAGTTGTCTTTTAATCTATACAAGGAGATTGTAAAATATGTTACCACAAACTTAAATAAAGAGCAAGGTTAGTTTATTGAAATTAAAATACTCTTCAGTTGAATATTAACTCTATTAAAATAACAATTATCTTTAAAATTAACTCTCAAGAGCACACATTCCTTACATATCAGGGAAGAATGCACAATAATATGATGTTCAATAAGAAATCACTTTAGAGTTCATTATTTTTCGGACAGTGTCCTTCACATCCTTATTTCTCAGGCTGTAGATCAGGGGATTCAGCATGGGGATCACCACTGTGTAAAACGCAGAGGCCACTTTGACCGTGTACCTGGAGTTCTTGGAGCTGGGCACACAATAGAGGAACAGGATGGTGCCATAGAAGATGCTGATGGCAGTCAGGTGGGAGGCGCAGGTGGAGAAAGCCATGTGACGCCCACTAGCTGAGCGCATCTTGAGGACGGTAACAAGAATAAACACATAAGACAAGAGGATGATAAGCAGTGTGCTAACTGCATTAAATGTAGAAAAAATAAGCACAAGTAACTGGTTTATGTGAGTATCTGAGCAAGACAGGGAGAGCAGTGAGGACAACTCACAGAAAATGTGATCCATAATGTTGGAACCATGAAAACATAATTGCAAGGTGGAGCATGTCAGTGTCGAGGAACAAACCACACCCCATGTATATGGCCCCAACACCAGCACAAGACAGAGTTTCTCTGACATGGTTCCTTTGTAGAGAAGAGGCTTACAGATGGCCACGAAGCGGTCATAAGCCATCACTGCTAGTAAAAAAGCTTCTGTTACCACAAAAATACTAAAGAAAAAGAATTGCATTATACACTCTGAAAATGAAATTGTTTTGTCCTTTAAGACTAAGTTCACCAGCATCTTGGGAGCAATGATGGAGGAGTAGCAGAAATCCACAAATGAGAGGTGGCTGAGGAAAAAATACATGGAGGTGTGCAGCTTGGGGTTAACTTTTATGATTATAATCATCCCAATATTTCCTACCACAGTGACAGTGTAGACACCCAGAAAAATCAAAAAAAGTGGTACTTGCAGTTCTGGAACATCTGAGAAACCCAAGAGGATGAATGTGGTTCCACTTTTGTTTCTATCTGACAGTATCATGGTTTCTGTTTGTCTGAATCTGAAAGTCTCAAAAAGGAAAATAATCAAGAGAGTAAAGACAGGGTGCTTGATTTATTTTGCTTTTAGAGATGCTTTTTGATGAATCAAAATACCCTTCAGAATCTAAGTATTTTATAAAATACCATATATTTCTAAAAATCTAACATGCTACTATTATAAAATTGTTCTTAAGAAAGCAATTACTGAATTACATTCTAAGTTCATAACTGTAACTTTAATATTAAAAATATAAAAAGATATAAAATATTTATGGTTATTTTATGCCAATCTCATAAAATTTTTAGCTGTCATTGCACATTGTAGTTTTATAAAAGATAAGACTAATGGCTCAAATGGTATTTAGAATTAAAAAATCAAATTTTTCAACAAAGTAACTTTTAACAAAGTAATATTTGTGTTTTATATTCACATAATGGCATTTTGGATGGGTAGCCTAATATTTTACTTGTGTTCTTATTGTTAATTTCACTTTAATCTGTCCATTTGACACAATAAATATGATATCAAAATAAATCACAGTTCTCTGGTTTTCTCATTAACTCAGGGAGTTTGAATTACAAGCTTATCCACATTTTGCAATAAATAAAAACAGAATAGATTATAAAGACATTTAAGACATTATCATTCACTTCCTTATTCTACAGATGACAAAATAGAAGGCAGGAAGCTTGACTTTTCTAGTCACATATAAACACTGATCTATGCATCTCTGTCTAAAGTTCTGGTCCTGTGTCTCCCAAACATACAACCTCTTTGTACACTGCACTACAGTACATTCTCTAGTCTAGACACTAATGTGTTTCCTTTATCAACTGTCATACCTGGAGTCGATGAGAACTAAAAACTTTAGAACCAATGTAAATAAACTGCTGACAGTGTATGTGACACAAGGGCATAGTAGAAAGTAACATCAAGAGAAAATATGATACAATATGATTGAGGGGGTTGTTTTCATCCAGGAAATATTATAGTAAGGACTGCAGGAGAAACTTTCCATTACTAAAAGAGTCTGCCTGTCTATATATCTGTCAATCAGTCTGTCCCTCTCACTGTGTCTTTCATCTGCCTCAAAGATGACTAAGGTATTCATTCTGGTTCCTCATCTCTACAATAATGTGAAGCAGAGAATAAAACATTTTAGGTGATCCTGCAAGATGAAGACATTTCATGAGAAAATGTTATTATAAAAGATGCTGTGTCCAGCATCTACCAGACCCTAACACAATAGCAATCTACCTTTTCTGGGACACTATCTGTGGTTACATAAAAAAGAAAGACTTTTCAGAGTAATCATGTTGAAATAAAAGCACAACTAGGACATATAATGGCTTTATTGTATTGTTACATTTATAAATCTGAGTATTAAAATAAGCGTCAAAAAAGAATTCACTCATAAGCCAAACATCCTAATTATCACATTGTTAGTAATACCATATTTCAGTTATTCTAGGTATTTAAAAATTTTATGGTTCAGAGGATTGAACCTACAAACTTTGCTTTGAGCTACATCCTCAGCCTTTACTTTAATTTATTTTATTTATTCTATTTTTTGAAACAGTGTCTTAGGTTGCCAAAATGGGGCTAGAACTTGATGTCCTCCTTCCTCAATCTCCCAGCATGACAGGATTAGAGCCAGGCACCATCACTCCTGGCTCTTAAAATTTATTTTAGAGCAATGTTCCTTAGAATCTAATGGCTCCTATGGTCCAAATACTATTATTAGATTGATAATGTATAGGTAGATCGATAGATAGATATTTTATTATACTTTTATTATATTTTAAGTAAAGCAAGAGCTGAAATCTTTCCTGTAAATTTTTTTGGTTACTTATTATTCTGTCTTCTCTAGTTGATAATCTTAATAAAACTTGATATCCTTTAATTTTTTCATTATATTATATTCAAATCAATGTATTTCACTTTACTTAAGTTCTTATCTGTTCTACATGTTTCATGTTTCCAAAAATTTGTAAATGCAAAAAAAAAATACTTTCTCCAAATTCTCAGAGCTTTTTTGTCCCCCACACAACATACCTGTTTTCACGGGTCAGTTACTGAGCTTCCTGAGTGGAGCCTCATGCAAAGCTTTGCAGAAAGAGTACACTTGCACAATCACACACACTGCTCACAAACTCTGCACAATCACATGAACCTCCCCAGAGTTATTTCCCACCCTCTGTGGTTGTTTTCCTGATTTAAATTAATTTCTTTTAAATCTTAAAACAAATCTGCAGGTTTCCAAGCCAAGATCTTTCCTGGTAGAGAGGAGTGATTGCATTTTTATTGCTACAGTTACAACCTTGGAGACGCAAACTGTGGAGATGATCTGCTGCCCCATTCTCCAGAGATTACAAAGGAGAGGATTAAAATGAATCATCTTTATCTGATGCAATCTTTTTTTCAAAACGTTTATATTTTATGACATATAGCAATTGTATCTTTTATGGGGTTGTTCTATTTAAGCAGATGTACACAGAGTGTAACCTGCAGAATACAGTAATTGGCTTATCTATGACCTCAAATATTTACCCTGTCTTTGTGTTGTAAACATTTAAAATCTTCTCTAGTAACTTATAAAACATTCTCTATGTCATCCATAGAGATCCCATTCTGCTAGATAATATTAGAAGTTATTTATCCTATCCATCTCTACTCTCCTGTCCTTGTCCTCTCTCCAGACCCCATTTCTACATTCCCTTTAGGGCTCTGGTAAGCACTATTCTATTCTCTATTCAAAGATCAACATTTTCTTTCCCCATATAAGTGCAAACCTGAAGTATCCTTTCTATATTTGGCTTATTTCATTTCATGTAATGATCTCAAATTCATTGACGCTGCTGCAAATGATGGAATTTCACTATTTTTAATATCTGAATAGTATTACTCCATCATGTATACACTTTATTTTCTTTATCCATTCATTCAACAATGGGTGCATGATTTGATTCTATGTCTTGAATAGTGCTGAAATAAACAAGTGTATGCAAGTGTCTCTTCTTTCCACTCTCTTGTGTATTTACTCAGCAGTGGGGTTACTATGTTATGTCCTAGTTCTATTTTTTCAAGAAATCTCTGTAATATTTCTTGTATTTTCAGTGATACATTTCCAGCAATGTATGAGTTTCCCTTACTCTCTAGCCTTGACAGCGTTTGTAACTTCATGTCTTTTTGGTAACAGCCATTCTTACTCTGGGGAGATAATATTTAATTGTGGTTTTGATTTATATTTTCTTAATGATTGAGATTTACATTCTTATATATCTGTAGCCCATTTATAGTCTCTTTTTAAAAATACTTATTCAGTTCATTTGCCCATTTTTGTTTGAATCATTTGTTGCTTTGTTTTGTTTTTTGAGTTGAGTTGTTTGTGTGTTAGGGACATGAATCTCTTGTTGGAGAAATAGTCTGAAAACTTTGTATTCCTGGGCCAGGGATTTAGCTCAGTTGTTCTGCCACCTGCCTCACAAGCGCAAGGTCCTGAGTTCGATCCCTGGTACCAAAAATGAAAAATTTTGTCTTGAATTTTCATGTTGCCTCTTCACTCCGTTGATCATTTTCTTTGTTGTGAAGATGCTTTAACATTTTATGTCATTCCATTTGTCGATGTTTTCTTTTGTTCACTGTGCTTTAGGGGTCATATCTAAAAAATCTTTACAGATCAATGTGCTCAAGCATATGTCCTCTGTTTTCTTCTAGTAATTCATATTGCATTTTGAATGGAGTTTATACATGGTGAGAAATTAGACCTTACTCTTTCTCAAATGGCTGTTCTTGCTGTCTTTACCAAAAATAAATAAGCCATAAATGCATGAATTTACTTTTGTTGCATTCTACTATGTCACATTGGTTTACGTGTGTAATCATATTCTGAGATCAAGGTTCATACTGCTTTTTTTACTATTACTTTCTAGTATGTTTTCAGTTAGGGTATTATATAGTGTCCAGCATCATTCTTTTGGTTCAGAACTATTATAACTATTTGGGACCTCTTGTGGTTCCATAAAAATGTCAGTAAAGTTTTTTTTTTCTATTTTTGTGAAGAATGTCTTTGATAATTTGAGAAAAAATGCAATAAATTTGTAGATCACTTGGATTACTCAATATATTTTAAGATTATTAATTATTCTAATCCATGAACATAGGATATCTTGGGTCTTTTCTGTGTCTTCTTCAATTTCTTTCACCAATGTTTTGTAATTTTCTTTGTAGATATCATTTATTTCCTTGGTGATTTTTACTTTGAGGTATCATTACTATTATTGTAGTTGTAATGAATAATGCTGCATCTATAAGACTTCCAATTTTATATTGAATAGAAATGGTTAAAGTGAACATTTTTGCTGTGTACCTGATATTATAGAAAAAGATTTCCACATTTGCCACTCAGTACCATGTTGACAGTGGGTTTCTGATAAAGCTTTTACTGTGGTGAAGTGTACTGATTCAATAACTAATACGAGGGTGGGTATTTAATTTTTCAAATGCTTTGTTATGCATCTATTCACATAATTATATGGTTTATGTTCTTCATTTGATTAACATGATTTTTTTAAGCTTGCTGATTTGTGTATATTGATCCATCCTTGCATCCCTGGGATAAATCTCACTTGAGAATATTAAATGAAATTATTTATGTGGTATTGGATCTCATTTTCTTCATTATTTGTATTTTATTTGCACGAGTTTAGAGTACATAATGATTATATTTATTGTGGAGAGTTGGCACATGTATATCACACATCTTAATTCCTTTGTTGTCTCCTACCCCTCCTGTCATTCCATGTTCCTTCCAACTCTTGGTCCTTTTCCTTTGGCAAAAATCTCTGTTTCTATTTTTCTTCATCAGTTCTTTTATTTTCATTTGCTTTGCTTCCACTCCTTGCCCCTCCCTTTATCTCTTGTTACCCCTTCTGTTTATAAAAGATCTTCCTATATACCATTATTTGTTTTTACTTAGATTTTGGGTTTCTTGTACAAAA